GTGTGTGTGACAAAAAATATTGCGAGAGAGAGAGAGAGAGAGAGAGAGAGAGAGAGAGGGAGAGAGAGAGAGAGTCACGGAGAGGGAGAGGGTGAGCGGGGAGGCGAGAAAAGTAACTACATTAGAAGGAATATGTGCATCCGTGCCGGTGTGTGTGCCGTACGTGCGTTTGTCTGCGCATGCGTGTGCACATCTCCGCCTGCATTCCTCCCTCCCTCCTTTCTCGCCTCTTTCCTTCCTCCTCCCCTCTCATTCCCTTCCTCTCTCGCGGATAGTATCGCCCACGGCATCAGTTGCACGGTGAAAAGATAGCCAGGCAAATGGCTGGTTTTCAGCCTCAACTTTTTCACCCCACAAAGCACAAAATTTTGATATACGGCTATAATACGCGTTTCACTGTCACACAAACACATATACACACCAACTAATGGACGCGCACACGCGGGTATGTTCGCACGCACGCGTGCGCGTATATTATAGGCGTAAATTCACATTTTGCGCCTCGTATCGGAAATTGTATCGGGGCTGAAAAAGTTTCGGCTGAAATACTGTCATTGTGGGCGATACCATCCGCAAGAGGGGAGTAAGGAATTGTGTGATACATAGTTCTGAGTGATACATGTTTATCAAAGCTTTACATATTGTTACAGGACTGTGACATGAATCCACGTGAGTTACATGATGAAACGACTATTGTGTACGTTGGTAATCGGCGAGCTATAGCGGCTGTTTAATCTGCTGTTGGCACTCGTGTAAAACAACCATTTTTACTTTATATATGAAACTAATGTATATATGATGACTCTAAAAAGCTAAAACTACTTGTCACAGATTGTCCTTGAAAAAAAACACATGTCCTTGAAATGCAATTGAAAAAACAATTCACACTTGTAGGAACCATGATCTAGTACTCCGAATTCGCGCCCGCGCGTGCGTGCGTGTCTGTGTGATTATGTGCATGCGTGTGTATGCGTGCGCGCGTTTGATTACATAAACATCAAATAGTTACCAAAACTCATCATCATAATCTTCATGTTTGTTTCTCTTCAGCCTTGGGTTTCCGCAATAACATACATCTTCATTTAATTCCTATATACGTTTAATATAAACGTTTTCAAACTGTTTCTGGTAATGGACTATGTTTTTACGACCTTTCTCATGTGAGAGCAGGAAAACGCTATCGCATGCTGAAATTCTACATGCCACTAGGTTGGTACATCTATCTTTTCTATGGTAATCAATTTAATGGTCACTAAAACTCAAATGACTAAAACTTATTCTAAACACTTATTACGGGTAACGATTTTTGATTTTCTTCCATCTAAACCAACAGTGTACAAGAACGAGGTATTTACATTGGTAACAAATTGTCAAGAGTTGCATTCGAACACTAGAAACAAAAACTACGACAGCAATTCTCAGCAAATGGAAGACTTTAGAAATTGGCAAATTTAAACTGATTGCGGAGTGTGGCATAATTTTCGAACGGAATTTAAAAAATATTTTTCACTCGCATGTCCCTTTAAAAGCTTCAGAGTAACCAGATGACAGCAGGTGACAGACAATACACGGATGCTGTGGTGTAACACTCAGACTTTACAATTTAAGCTGTCAGTACCCTAACTCAACACTTATGCACTTCAATCACAGTTATTAGTACCAGTACACCAGGTATTCACTTGACTCTCCAGAACATATCTGAAGTCATTACATGCTCTGTGGTGTCTGTATTATGTCGTAGATCTGGTAACTGATGCTGACCACAAACTACAATACCCTTACGCGCAGTACGGAAGCTAAATTCATCCAATGACCATCATACAGCATCTGGACTACTCTCAATGATATGTAAATTATACCTTCACAATGACGACCATAATATTATATCAGGAGCAAATAATACATAGTGTATAACAAGAATACGAGAAAATAGAGCTATTTTAATCCAAAATTCTTCTATTTTAAATGCAAGTCTAGTATAAGTTCTTAGTATTGCATTAGGCAACATTCTTTCCTCTCTAAAACAATACCAACCGCTTGTCTCTACGACACTTCTAGGCTAAAATATTGGATTGTAACCTTAGCTCATCCAGACGTTACAGAGGTGTTAGGAATCGAGTTGAACACACATCTCTTGCGCCTTCGCTCTACAAGTGTAAGCCCTGGTAGAGCTACTTGCGCCTATAGTTGGCCATTGTACTCAGAAATAATTATTTTTACAACAGGAAAAATGATTTAACCGCGGTACTAATATTATCGACTCAATGGTAGAGTGCTCGCCTCGCATGTGGTAGGGCGGGGGTTCAACTCCCGGCCGGGTCATACCAAACACTTGAAAAATGGTACAGACGGCTTCTCTGTTTAGCATTCAGCAAATAGAGATAGAGTGTGGCAAGGTAACTCGCAGTGCTACCAGTGGACTAACCCCCTATTGTAGCATTTACTGTGAAAGCAGGTGCGGGGCCTCAGGGTTACTGAAATGGAGATAGGCACCGCCGTATGGGCCTATACGCCATATAGGAAGGATTTAACTAACTAATATTATTGCCATTTTTACCCAATCACAGGCATATTGTTACACATAATTTAACCGTGGGCAAATTATTTTTCAAACTGTATGCAGCGCCCCCTTCCCACACTCAGGATAATACCACTGCCACAATGCTAGCACTATTTTTAAAGTGGGCGGAGCTCCGGGGAAATCCAACAAATGGCAATCCAACGGCCGCGAAGTCGTCGCCAAACAAAACATTAGAAATTTCTATGATTTGCATGTTTGTTGGTGGACAAATTGAGATGTTTTAAGCTGAATACACAAAAATGTATCAAAGACAATGTTCGAGTATTAGTATTATTGGCAAGCATCCCAAAAATTCATAATAAATACGTGAACTTAGTTTAGTAAACAGCGTAATGATTTGAAAGTAGTAAATGGGTGCACTATTTCGTATCACTATTTTATCAAATTTCTCATAAAATAATGGTCGATTTTTAATATCTTTGCAGCTTTTAGAAGTTCACACCGTATTATATAGGACAGCAGTACCGGTGTCGCTGTAAAACTTATAGTAAAAAAGCGTAAGAAATTCTTACAGAAATCAGCTTGTACGTGGCAGTGGTAGAATTGAGCCAGAGCGAGAGCGCCATCTGTCACAGAGTTTGATTATTTTTACCGCGGTTAAGTTAAATTATGTGTAACAAGGCCTCTGATTGGGTAAAAAGGGCTATAACTTTACCGTGGTTAAATTATACCCCTTACTTTAGACCTGTATTTAAAATAGAAAAAGTTTACAGTAAAATATCACTATTTTCCTGCATTCCTGTTATACACTGTATTATTAGCTCTTGATTATATGTATATATATATATATATATAACAGTGACAGATGTTGCACCACTAAGTTATTAGTGTAGAGGGTGCTCTCTGAAAGACTGATTACCCTGGGCTTTTATTGTAGCAAGATATTCTCTTGTGGGAAGAGGTCTACCAATACCCTGTTATACTAGCAAGAGGACGCTTTATAGAAATCTGATGCTGACATGCTGTTATACTAAAAGTTTTTGGAAGCCTTTAGAACTCTGCTGATATGGTCTTGTTGTAGCACAGTTTGCGCCCCTCTGATGATGTTACTATTGTAAAGATTCCTCCTTCTATCCTGATGTTGTTACATTCTCACGGAAGCACGTGTCCATGGAATCAGATGTTGTCAGCTCACGTCGATGACCTTAGGGAAGGTGGCTCTCTGACGTTGTGATCGTGTAGCAATGGATTATAGTACACTCCGATGGTCAGAAAGCATTTTATAGAAACAGGCACATTTCTTAGATAGTGTTGCACTTTACTCTAGATATTTAATGTCATGGGTATATATGAGCGAAAGTGCAGCGCACTGAAAAATTGCAGCTATGACTGTCTGCAAATGTTAAAACGTTCCAAGTTTCAAACGTATTTCTCGTACGAGATCACGTTCTAGATAGTAGTGCCATGGTTGCCACTCCCACTGCTGTAACAGCTGCTGCGCCACAAATAATTCCCGTCATTGATGGCCACTTTATCTCTCCCCATCGAGATTTGTCCTTGTAGTACTCAACAAAGCCATCCTACAACAAAAACAAAATGCACCACAGAATTTTAATACTTACTTCAGATCACGAGATTGAGGGAAAGGGGGGGGGGGAGGTACAAAGACAAGCACACAACTCGTAAGTCGTAAACATAATCTTATGGGGATAATCGAGACTTACTAATGTATTTACTTTATATCGAGATACTTATCGTATTGTGACCCTAGTGTATCATTCCACCTCTAATGTGTCTATAATGTATCAAGTGTACACACACTGACTGGACACTTTTAGGTCTCCCTGGTGTAGCTCCAACAGGGGCTCATTGTAAGAAACACAGTAATGTTGAGACTATGGTAAGACAAATTTCTATTTCTGACGACCCCTAGTGGCGAGACTACAATCAATACACAATATACCGTAATGCGTTTTGATGCGCGCCTATATCACTGCATGTTTCTCGGAGCTGCAACTGGTAATGTCATGTTTGACTTTCTACTGAACTGTCGGTGAGGACCTTGCAATCGGACGTTCTCACTTTTACTAATGAATGTGTCAGCATTAAATAAATAAGTAAATTTAACCAAATACACTCACCCAGCCCCCATTATCGTCAATCCAAGGCTGAAGATTTGTGTCGCAGTAGCTCGACGCCGCGTCCACAAACGCGTCTATTAGTTCAGGTTTACCCCTCTTTGCAGCACACTCGCATAACGTTCCCGTAAAGGCAAACATTCCTACGATCCAACCCCATTTTACTTCCTGTTCGAACAGATCGTTAAGAACTCCGCAGTAACCACACACTGCCTGTGCGGAATCGGAGTCGACCAAGTGCATGCGTTCTGCCATGTCGTCGTTGATCCTATCTTTCGATCGCTCTCGAAATTCGTCTGCGATAGTTCTCATGAAGGTGCACGGCGTGTCTGGACTAGGAAGAATCGGTCGTGTCACCCAGTCAAGATGTGCGCGTTCGAGCCGATACGCGACATAATCCATGACCATACGCCTATTACGCGATCCGAGCGCCATGTTGGCACTACCGCCAAGACAAGTGATTTGTTGATATTTTACAGTATATGCGAAATTTTGTCAGCAACCATACCCACCTCTAGAAGTCTGGTGGAGTACAGAATGCTGAATGTACTGCCGAGATTTTTAACAGAGCAAGTGGTGCAAGGGCTACACATGCGAATATAACCACCAATGTCGCGCACGAGCTTTTCCCTCTCGGATGCACGATTCACACACATTCCGAATATTTCGGTCGATACTGCGATATAGCCTAGCTACCACACATGCGCAGTGGTTCCGCTAGCAGCCGCCAAGGTCTTGCGCTCAGGCATTTCCAGCGTTTCCATATTAATGTAAATAAACACGAAGTCTTATCTACTAGAAAAGTCGTAATTAATCTATTCTATTTCGCCTATTATTTGTAACAGATTTCCGTAAATGCAGTTCAAACGCTTCTCTATATAGTCTCTATAGTCTAGATCTGCAACACAATTTCCACCACGTCCACGACCGTCACTCTGCACAAACCTACAGTAACATCGTAAATCTAAATTATAATCTTATTAAAATATTAAAATTAAATATATTACTTTTAGTCTTCAAAGACAAAATATCGAAGACGGAAAGAGACAAAGTTGATCAAATAGAGCTGACTGTTCGAGATACTGTCACGTAGAATTGACAGTAAGAGCTAGCGTAATATACACAGGAAGAAATTTAAGAGACCTTCTGTGAGCGCCTGCACCACTGATCTCTATAATATATATTATAGAGATCAGTGGCCTGCACGCGTGCAGTGAATTATGGTTGTACAGCAGTTAAATGGCAAGCATCGGTAATACAATAGCTGTTTCTAAACTTTTAGTCAAACTTTTGACACAGATTTTATGAGGCGAGCGGAGCACAATTAATTAATGCATCAGCTAATGAGCAGAGTGCACTTAGTGAGCCATCCGGGGCACCTATATGGTAATTTTACTGTCATACACGCGGGTTGAAATTGTCGCCCACGTTATATTAATTGCCACTCCTATTATACTGCGAGGTTCACTGGCAATGTACCCCCAGGGCCAGTGGCGTAGACAGGTCCTCAGTTGTTGGGGGGGGGGATGATTTCGCTGTGTGCGATTGAAGAGTGTGCGAGTAGCGCACACCGCGAACGCCTTGGCGCAAAGCCCTTAACATGATGGGTGGGGTCCAGGGGCCCGCCCTAAGGCCCCTGGCAGGGTGCAGGGGCAGAGCCTTTGGCCGGGGTCCAGGGGGCGGAGCCCCCAGAAGCTCTTGGATTTTAGCAATTTAGAACCTTCAAGATGGCCGTTTTTTAGGGAATTGAAAAAAATTGATATTGTAAGTGCAATTTTGTGAATTCTAAGGCAATTTTTTATTTGGATATCAGAGGAACACGCAACCCCCCACCACACACACACCAGGCCCGTAGACAGCTTTATATTGAGGGGGTTCGTTTTTCAATGTTGGCAATTTGCTCGGCAGGGGCGTGTACAGGATTTGTACCAGGGGGGGTCTAACCGTAACCCAAAGTTGCGAGCACGCAAAGGGGTGGTCTGGGGAGCCCTCCCCCAGAAAATTTTTAAAATTACACCCCCTTAGATGCGTTTTCTGCGCGAGCAAGGGGGGGGTCCGGACTCCCTGCATGGACCCCCCCCCCCCTGTACATAGCCCCTGCTCGGGCGCGAAGCGACCAGGCGAGGGAGCCAAGTGCCGGGAGGGCGTTCACTGTTCACCTTCCCACACGATGGAGATTTTACAATTATTACACTAAAATGGAGTGACCTGAGGTGAAATTCTTGCAAATTTAAAAAAAAATTTTTTTTTGCTTGGGGGGCTCGGGGGGGGTCGAAAGTCGAAAGGTCGTTCGAACCCCCCGAACCCCCCCTGGCTACGGGCCTGCACACACAACCAGTGGCGAATCCAGAAGAAAATTCTGGGGGGGGGGATCATGCGAGGTCAAGGGCACGAAGCGCCCGGGGGGTCCCCCTCCCACTGTGGAATTGTTAAAAAGTTGCAATCTAAAAGCAATCAATTTTGGACATCTTTATCATAGAATATCAGGATTTTTCCTCCTTCAGGGCGTGTCCCCCTCCTGTTTAGGGGGGGGGGGGTCCGGGGGATTTTGTTGAAAGGCACACCTCTTCGATGCAATTTCCTGCACTATGAGGCAGCACTATTAAACAATCTTCATCACAATAACATCACTGTTGAGTTGAGTATTTTGACCTTTGGGGACACCAAAGACCAAAATACTTACTACCAAATCTGTGCTATGTACATGTCCTCACTGGGGTTACCAGTGCAGACTTATACCTAGGCTAAAATACGTTCGCGCTGAAAATTCTAGGGGGGGGGGCGACCGCCCCGTGCTACCGACCCCCCGTTGACAACTACAGCACTGGAATCATCTCCCCCTGAAATTTTGATAAAACGTATATTTTATTGAGACCTTTAAAACTGCAAAAAAATATGAGAAAAACAACCAGATTTGAACCAAAAAGTGCATATTTTCACCCCTTATACAAAATCGGGAATATACTTCCGGTCGGGTCTCAGCACCACCAGCCTCCCCAAAAAAAGTGAGATGAAATGTAATTTTCCAATTCAATCCCCGTGAAAATTCAATATCCCAACTCTCAATAGGTCTATTCTAATTTTGAATAAAGCAAGGATTTTACTTTCGTGAGCAGTGATAATCCTTTGGGAATTTTGAAAAAAAAATCGTATAATGCGTCCAAAATTAACCGTCTGAGTTTCAGTAAAATAATGTCATTTTCCTCCTGAAAGTAGGGGGGATGATTGTACACGCCATCCCCCACGTCAATAAGTGGGGGGGGATGCATCCCCCCCCCCCGCTATCGATGCCCCTGCCCAGGGCCCCACCCACCCATATCCTTCCAACCCACGCTCATTCTAAACCCTACATTTACCTTTACTTCGATATTATGTCCAATACGGCAAGCCAATACTGCAATAGTGCATATAGCATGATATTTCGATTTTCATACTTACGAAGCATGCAACCAGTTTTTGAATAACGAATGACAACATGGTTTGTTTCACAGCCTAATAGACGACATTATATTGCACGTGTTATTATTCCTCGTTTGTTGATGTATTATTCAACTCTCAAACAGTCGTTATTCACACACGTTAATAAAATCGCTTGGCACACGCATCTAGACACAATGACAAATCTTCAATGACAATTGTTGAAATTGTATGCATGTTTAACCACGGTCATTTATTTAACGTCAATATATCGTAGGACGTCTTAAAAATATTATAAAATGGTATATACGTCCTAATGAATATATCCGTAGAGTATAATATTATACATATATAAACGTATTATGCACATAGTATAAATGGCTTATCTCTCATCTGTAAAGATAGTTGTATTTGACATGCTAAGTGCAGATGGCACTACAGAATTACAATAATGCCTATGATGATAAGCCGAGGAACTTCAGTTCCACAAGTTGTGCAACAGAGAGAATATCACACGTTTCACTCTACCAACATGCTAATATCTGTGACATCTTTTGGAGTAAATGTCATCGGTTCGCTCCTTTGCTCTGTCTGAAGTAATTCGGTGCAGTTTCGTACAGCCATTCAGGTTCAATAACAAAGGCAGTTCGAAGAAAACAGCGGGTTGTTTGCACAATTTCACTATAAAGCACGTAAGCCGGTTTGCAACCAAACAGGGATGATGATGGGTGAAAGGTTGCCTTGTGCTTCACTGGTCCCAGTGTAATGTAGGTGCCCTCTCGCTGTAGTTCTGCTGCATTCAGGAACAAACCTGTGCCAGTCATAACAATAGCTTAAAATTAATGCTATCATCACTGACAAGTAGTGATAAAAATGCCTCTATACTAAATATATCATATCCGTTAGTACCCTACGCAAAATATACAGGAACCATGTACGCATTTCTTTCACTCGCTAAATTTGAACAGACATGGTTATCAAGCCACAGTCAGAATAGATCTTAGAACAAGCATGAAACCAATTATGTATAACCTTGAATAATCCTTACTTAACCAAGGTAATACAGAACTAATATGAAGACAACCTTTTCAGTCTCATTGCTATGCATTTTACATGCAGTATGGTGAAGAACAAATAATATATAACATACCTTTTGTGAGACACTTGCGCACGCTGGTCATGTCTTGTCCACAAGACTTGAGAGGAATGTTAGCACGTAGACAGAGGTCCCTGAGCTGCTGACGAATGTTGCACGCAGTGTTTAGATTCCTGTAGTGCACGTAGTTTTCATAACACCACTTGTGTTTGTCATGTTCCGGGAGTCCCCTAAATGCCTGCAGATACGGTGTGTGTGCTGTTAGTGGTGTTGGTCGTTGACTCCCATTAAATCGCTGCCACAAACGGTAGCACACCGGAAGCAGTGATATGGCACAAGTAGTGTTGTCAATCAGTTGTAATTTCGTAATCAATCATCGGTTCGACCCAAGTAACCGATGATCGGTTACAATCGGTTACTCGGGGTGTTGAATGCCTGCATGTGCGTAACGTCGTGTGCATGTACGTGTGTGCATGTATGTGCTTGTTTAGCCCTGTTTACTGTTTGTATAATACATGTATGTAAATAAAGGATAACTTGTATAGTAGCGATGATATCTCTGGTTCTCATCACTTTTCCAAGTCTTCATGTTCAAGTTTTACATTTATTTCGAATTTTTATTTATTTTTTTGATGAAATCGATTATAGATTTTGATAACCAAGCACTTGGTTCGAGCCACTGTTCAACCAATGATCGAGTATAATCGATGAACGAGACATCACTAGGCACAAGGCATACTGAACTACACACTATAGCGTCGATCGGATTTTTTCTCCATGAAAAAGACTGTTTTCAGCACGTGTGTTTGTATTTGAATTACATGCGATAAAGATTTAATAATAATATCATAATTAACAACCTCCTACATGCACACTCTCGAATTTAAGTGATTATCTTGAAGTAGTGTATGTGGTAGCACAGCAACCAATAATACACCACACACCAGATATAAACTGTATGGAACCATATGAAAAAAAATGTATGGAACCAAATGAAGAAAGCTAGCAATACATACAATGCCCGTATTTTAGAAGTTCTTTAGAATATACAGTGGAACATTATATCAGGAAGCAGGATACAATACAAGAACACACAGGTCTGGATAATTAATAGTAATGTAATGGATTGCACTGTACTGACCCTGAAGATATTCAGATATGTTATGTGATCTCCTTCGCTGGATACAAACTTCCTCCTGATAGCCTGAGCATCCTCTATTTTTTGTTGAGGGGTGAAGAGAATGGAGTCGACTGACAACAATGCGACCACACTCAGTATCTCCTCTGCACAACCTAGGTCTTTCGACGCCATAATGACTTTTGCCAACTTTGGATCAAGTGGAAAAGATGCCATTTGTCTGCCTGCAAACAAAAAAGAAATAGGGATAAATTATTATACAATATCGATCTGTTACGGTGGTGCAATGATAATATTTGCCGATTGTTTTAAAATACAATTCACCTGTCTAGGTACTACCTGACGTACTTGGTCAGCTGACCAGTATGGTTGAAATTTGCAGGCGTGCCGAATCATGACATTTGTGTGTGGTGCAGTGTGCATGTACCAGTGAAAAAATTAATTTTTTTCTTTCCGGGGCTCTTTTTGCAAACCCCCCCAAAATTTC